CAAGCCATTAGGTCTGGGACTTGAACTATGGTCAGCCATGTGGGAGTGTCCTGCACCTTAATCACCACTCCTCCTACTAGCCCCCAATATATTTAGTACTTTTAAAATTTTCCTTTTAATATTTCCCATCTGTTTTGTTACCCATCAGCTTATGCCTTTCCCTTGAGAAAGGGAAGGAGGACAGACGGAAAGGTAGAAGCTTAAAGTGTTAAGTGGGTGACATGAACTTGGTGTAAAAGGGAAGGACAGAGACAATCAAGTGGGGCTTTATCATATTCCCTAAGAGCTCTCTGGGGTACTGTATGCTGCAGTGCCTAAGAGCCTGGGGTCTAAGCTCTAGTTTTGGAATAACTAGATGAGTAATCCTGGGAAAATGACTTATTCTTCCTAAGTCAAATGATTAAACATAAAAATGCCTATTTCACATAGCTGCTAAACGTGTTAACTATAACACTAAATGGGAAATACTTGTTTAACAATTCATCCCACAAATATATCCTGGAAGACTACTATATGCCAGTTTGGATATGAAAGCTTGGGATGTCTGTGAAGATATGTCATGTTGTGTATATGGGATGTATCTTAGCTTTTATTATTAAAGTGAGAGGGCAGTTTGTCAACCTTCACTTTGCACCTTTGGTGATTCCTAATTATTGCTGTTTTTCTTTTTATTATTTTTTAAGATTTTTTGTCATAGGGTATGTGCACTTGTCAGAAAGAGATGGACAGACAATGAGAGAGAAAGTGAGAAATCAACCCCTGGGGGGATGGCCCACACCACAACCCCTTCTCCATTCTCCTCGTAGGATATTGGGCATGCATGCTTATGTGCCCAATGTGATTTTCAGGCTACTGTGTCCAGGACTTGAACCATGGTCAGTCATTTGGGAGTCCAGCACCTTAATCACCACACTACTTGCTGGCCCCAATTATTATTTTTCTTCACAAGAGAGAGACACTGAGAGAGAGCATATGGTAGAGAGAGAGAGTGCTAGGTATTTTTGACAGGGCCTTGTTATAACTCTCCTGCCCCAGCCTCCTGGTTAACTGGGACTATGGGCATGTACTACTGAGCCTGTTTAGGCTGGGCCAGGAACCAAACTCTGGCCTCAGTCACTGTGTAACAGCTTCCTGCTTGCCCATGGCTTGCGGCTTGCTTGTAGCTAGGATCCTTATTACTTTGAGGAAGTATTTCTTTTTTTTTTAAAGAAAAATCCCAGGGTCAGTGGGTGGTATGGTGGTTAAGAACACTGGACCCCCATGTGGTCGACTACAGTTTGAGTCCTGGGCTTGGTGGCTTGCTTTCTCACTTTCCATCTCTCTCTCTTGCTCTCTCTTACTCTGATCAAATTAAATTAAATTAAATAATTCTTTGGAGGAAAAAAAAAAAAAAGAAAGAAAAAATCCCTGCCTGTTATCCTAGCTGGTTGGGATAGACTCAGGAGGAGAGGGAAAATTACAGGGTAAGACCCTGCTGAAGGTACATACCTGCCTTTCTCTTGTGAAAGGAAAAAAACAAATAAACAAACAAAGGATACCAGAGGGGTCTAGAAACTTAGAAAGTAGCCACAAAATGACCAATGTAGAAAATTATTTAAAATAATGTTTCATTCAAACCTGAGCCAGACTTTCCACTGAAACGTCAAAATATATCTTGCCCCGGTCTTTGCTGATTTTACAGGATGACCCCAATTTCTCTCTCACTTCATCTGCAGCTGTCTGCTCAAAGCCAGTAGGTACAGTGGCTCCGATAGTAACTTGGAGATGCTCGTATCCACTGCTGAGGTCACTTTCTGTCACTTGTACAGACCTCTGATTCTCATAAAGGTTCACATCCAGGAGTTGGTTAGTGGCTTCTTCTATAACTGACATGTTGGCAGTGCTTCCAAGATTCCCAACACAGTCCCTGTAAAAGCAGTACAGAAAAGGAAAAGAGTGAAAGCCCATCTCATACTTTAACTACAACTAAAAACTTCTGCTTTGGAGGGCAGGAAGAACAAGGCGACACTATTGATAAAGCCATATTCAGTCAACGCATATGATTAAATATTCACCAAAGTTAAAAGGGTTGAATCAATATGGGTGCAGAGTGCAGGCTGTAAAACATGTTATTATTAAACAAGCAGTACAGATATAGGTTAAGTATCCTTTATCGCAAATGCTTCCCAATGTTTTGATTTTGGATTTTTTCAGATTTTGGAACGTGTATATATAAAATGAGATATCCTGAGGATGGGGCAAAGTCTAAATATGAAATCCATTTATGTTTCATATATACCTTATATGCATAGCCTGAAGATAACTGTATATGATATATATATATATTTTTGGAGAGGTTTTCACTATAGGGCGCATGCACTCGCCAGATAGAGAGAGATAGAGACAGAAAGCGAGAAATCACCCCCCAGGGGGGATGGTCACGCCTCAATTCCTTCTCCATTCTCCTCTCGGGATCTTGGGCACGCACGCACACACGCCCGGCGTGAGTTTTAAGCCACCGGGTCCGGGACGCGAACCGCGGTCGACTACGTGGGAGTCCAGCGACATAGCCATTACGCTAACTTCTGGTTCCCTGTATATGATATTTTTGAACTACAGTGTTTTGAGTGCAATCTATCACATGAGATCAGTCAGTACTTAAGAAGTTTTCGATTTCGAGCCAGCAAATGGCATGGTGATTAAGGCGCTGGGCTCCCACAGGGCCAACTAAGGTTTGAGTTGGGGACCTGGCAGCTTGCTTTCTCTTTCCTTATCTGTCTCTCCCTTGTCAAATTAAAATGAATTGAATACTTAAAATAAATCATTCTTTTTTAAAAATAATTTAGGATTTGGGGCATTTAAAATTTCAGATTAGAGATTTTTTTACAGAATTATTTTATTTAACTTTATGTATGTATGTATGTATTTATTTTTGACCAGAGAGGGATAGAGAGAGAGAGAGAGAGAGAGAGAGAGAAAACAAGA